ATGCGGAAACCCCCCAGTCGTTCGGAAAGAAATTTTAAAAACGAAGCTGCACACACGGGAAAAGTTCGCCATTTTGAGATAAGAAGAAAATATTTGACTCGTGCAGAATGATTTGAAGCTGGGACCTTCCGCGCCTGATCGATTATCTCTCGAATACCATACATGTCACCCAGGTACCGAATACATAATTTCTTCTGCCAAGTATAGCTCCGATTTTGGCTCGAAGTTTTCTCAAGAATTCAGTTACGGGCGTGTTCATGGTACAAATTAACTAGTCGCTGCACCGAATAATGGATTTTTTAGTGCTAATAATAACTCCGATTCGGCTCGAGGGTTTCTCAAGAATTCAGTTACGGGCATGTTCATCTTACAAATTAACTAGTCGATCAATGCAAGAAAAGTTTGAAATACGTCTGAAACTTCTCAAATTTCGGAGTAACATTCGGTGCTTATCAAGAGCCACATTAACCAGAGGATTGCTTGGTCAGGACATTTTGTGTTTCAGTATCGTGAAAATGACTGTCTGAAGAATTAAAAAAAAAATTCATAGCGGTTTAAATTATATACAGGTATAGTGTTTGCCTTCAGAGGAACGCTCCTCTCAAAATTCAGCAAGGTCCGTATAGCAGACCTAGGAAAAGATGCGAAAAAGGGTTTTCACCAAAATCCGAACCAATGCTTGATTTCGGATCAAGAATGAGTGGAAGCCAACTGGAAGGTTATGGAGTCGATGGTGAGAGTATTTAGATAAGAAGTCTCGCAAAGTTTCGGCTGCCATTAATCACTGACTAGTGGAAAAATCCGCATTCCTACCGGCATGACAGGGATGCTCGATTGATGCTACAGTGCAGGATCCAGGTTCATCGAACTTTGCAGAATCTTCCGATTTTAGAAACGAGACCCTCGGTTTCTGCGCTAAAAAACCGATGGCTGTTCGAGGAACGTTTGGCCTCTCTTTTGGTTTTTTTTTCGATCACACAAGAAGACATGATCCACGGGAAACGATGAAGATTGCAGCTAATTTTAGAAATGAGCTGCTTGATATCAACACTTTCACGGTCATTCATAAAAAAACAAGAGAGACATTTTTAAAATGTCATTGCATTTGTTTCCGACGGTGGAACTACTCACTCTCTCAGAATTTGAAGACGAAGCTTGATGCATACGTTGTGTTATTCTTACGATTATATTTTTTAGGATATACTGTACATAATTTGCCCCAGGAATATTCAACCATTTCCTGACCACTGCTCAAATGTTTGCGTGCAAGTTGGAATGGAAAAACATTAAAATGTGGAAGTGAACCCACCAATGTAAGGAAAAACGAGTCTACATGCCAGCCACGCAAATGTGATGAATTTTCGGGTGATCGAAGCGCTACCGAGTGCTGTTTTCCTAATGGTTTGAGACATTTATAAATGGCCATGCCCCAGAAAATCCATTCTAAAAATTGAAAAACTTTTTCTGACCTTGGCAATCAAATCACGATGAGTGAAGAAAGTTGTCAGGATATGATGTGCTTCATCCTCTTAGCTTCAATGCTTCCAGCTACCGAATTTTGGAGCAATCTGACGCGGATAAGTAACGTATCCGAGGAATTCAATTTTAAAATATTGACACAAATTCTGAACCAATTCATGGATTCCAAGAACAGCTGGAAGTTTGAGCTTTTTTCAGGCTGCAGTTCGTGAAACTTTTAAAAATGAAATGATGGATCATGATATTTTATGCGTACGTGTGCACTCGACTTTTCGGATCATCTGCGGTAATATTTTATGGTGCGCATGATTTGTCATTTTCTTCAATGGTTTACTGTCATCCATTTGATGTGTTGGCTACCATCGTGATTCATTGCTTCGTCTGATGACTTGCTGCATCGCTCAAAGAAAGCCTGGAACACCGTGCTCGAGTGAATTCGTGATTATGTACAAGATGAAGTGCCTCAAATTCAAGGATTCGGTGCAACAACAAAAAGAGGTCAACTGCTCCTCCACGAAGGCGAGGACGAAACTCGTCTTTTCGCGGGATTGTTCCCAGTTATTTCTTTGGACGTAGCTTTTCCCTTATGTTTCGTTGTTGCTATTCTTTCCTCTGCGTTAGCCGCAGCTGCATGCGTGTGTGTTACCTTGCTCATGTCATTTTGGTCAAAATACCAGCGAATGGAAAAGGCACGCGACCTTAATGATGCCCTGACGTACATCCCATGATTGATGCGCACAGGCATTGTACTCGCATTGATCGACGCGCACCGCTTGAGAAAGGGCAACCGCATCGGCTTTTGTTTCCAGCATTGAATTGATAAGTTCCCCTCCTCGGATTCGCTTTATTTCTCCGAGCACCATCCGCACTTACATCGCGGTATGGAATATTTAGAATAGAAAAAAAACCATGCGTTGAGGATTAGGCAAAAATCCGAGAAAAATATACAAGCTTTAGGCTCTGATCGCGGCTCTGAGCAGAACAGACCGAACCAGCGATGCGCCTCGAGCTGGAATCGAAAATTTTTCCTCGGTCGGCGATGAGCGAGAAACTTCTCGCTCATCTCCTCCGAACCTGTGAGGTCCAGTATTGGCCATCATCCATCAGCCTTTCCATGAAGCAAAGGAAGGGTAGAGGAAAATATCTCGCGTTGTCTCTAGGAGCTTAAATCTTGGTTGGCTGTTACTAGCTATACGTGATCAGCTCACTAGCTTCGGTCATGTCAGGGTCGCGGGTGAAATTCCGCACAGGGCATCGCAATCTCTGGTGCCGATCTTGGGCGTCCCCCCCCCCCCCCCCCCCCCCCCCCC